CTGACTCTGATAGGTCCGCTGATGAGTACCTCTGATCTGTAGTTCTCATCGGCTATCAGATGTTCAAGTTTATCAGCAACTCTCATAGGTGCAACTCTGATGGACTTCTGGCAAGAGAACTCTGATGGAGCAGTTCTCATAGAGCAAGTCTGGTAGAGCAGTTCTGATGCACTTCTGATCTGATCCAAAATAGAGCAACTCTGATCGTCGACTACACTAATACTTACAATTGAAAATTCTAATACATAAAATCTAATTTGGGGGTACTTTAAAATTCTAATCCTATAGCATCATCAAAATCTAGTTACATTTATTCCTTACAGTTCGCATAGTGCTACTCGGGTAATTGTAGATCCTTTCAAATTCATTTTGCGTGTCCATGAGTTTAACTCTGAAGTTATGTCAATAAGTATTTTTGCAGTGTAATGCGAAAAACCAAAGCTTTTTGCTGCACTGCTGCCGTAGAATACTTGTTGATCGAAATAAAGATTTCGGAAAAGTGTGTTTTGGGTTGTTCACATATAAGCTGTCATTAATCATTTGGGTTGTTGAGTTTAAAGGCACTAGTGAGTCAAATTATTTTTACCTATTTTCATTTATTTTTTCAATTTGCAGATTCAAAGGCTGGTAAAGATTGTTTGGTGCAAGTGCCATGAAGGCTGAAGCTAATATATTGCTACTCATTAAGCTATGGACCTCTGTACTCATTAAGCTATTTCAGATTCAAATGTAATACGTATATTGTACACTACATTTTTGTTCAGTTTTTATGGAACTCTGTAGTGTGAAGTTATGAACTAAATGCAAATATTTGTGTTCTTAAGTGTCTATGTAAGAGATTTGCAGTGTAATGGATTATAAACATATGTACAATGCTGTGTTCATTTAATTTAAAATAGTTGTTTGTGTATTTTTTTTTTTAATTTTAATAATACATATAACGTCTGTTATACACAAAACCAACGTTGTTATATTTTTATTTTTTATTTTTTAAATAGGTTTAACGTCGGTTTCGTACAAAAACAGACTGGGAAGGTTTTTTTAATATTGATATAACGAACACATTCAACGTCGGTTTTGGTTGAAAACCGACGTAAAAAGGTACTTCTAACGTCGGTTACGAAACTGACGTAAAATGTCGATACCTATTACGTCGGGACATTTCTCGTCTCTTCAAAAACCGACGTGAGAGGGTATAAATAACCGACGTAAAAAGTCCCTTTTGTAGTAGTGAGGAGACAATAGGGAATGCTTCCGTACCTCCATAGTTTCTCCTAATGGTTACCATGCCTATATGTTGGAGAAGCTACTTCCTAGAAGGTGCCTCCTCGTTTAGGTGTTGGAATGGACCATCCTAAGAGGTGGAATCCTACAACGTTTGCAATTATAAAGTTTGGGATACAAACTCAAAGTATATAAAGGATATGATTTTAGAGGATTTTCTATTGATGTTGGATTCAAAGTGAGATTAAGAATAAGAATTACCTAGGCGTCGGAATTCACATAAACATTTACTAGAGTTTAATAGTAGCTCTTTACTAATTATTATGAGTACGATAGCGCTAATATATTTTCCAATTTGGTTAAGGCAGCGGGGGCGTGGTTTTCACTACGTGTAAGATATATTTCTATTCTCGATACTTGTATATTTATCCTTTAGTGTTCATAATTTAAACTTCAATATTAATTGCAAGTATAAATTGAAAGTAAAATACTTTTATGACGTATATCTTAGTTGAATAGTGAGAAAGTTGAGACATTGACCAATGATCGAAATCCGCAACGATTGTGTGGAGGTTATGGCTCCTGTGTTCTGGATTGGACAGCTGATGCGCACGAGTACAAGATCAAAACTTTAGACTAAGCCCAACTTATTAATATAAGTGAATATTCAGAAAGGTCAAAACTTTACTTGTTTACGAAAGAGGCAAGACTAGGCTTAAAATAGGCCAGGTAGCAAAGGCCTGCTGGGACGCCTGATCTATTACCACCCCTAATTCTTGTCTTCGTCTATTGGCCATCGCCAATAGCATCTGTTGTCTTTTACGATCTCTAATTTGTGATCTGCTCGCCATCTCTAACAACTTTAGTTGTCTGCTTGCCATCGCCTCACATCCATGCCTCAGTGCTCACACAGAGAGATCGATGAACCAGAAACATATCAATGCTAAAATTGTTTTGCTGCCTACGAACGCTCATCTATACTGTCATCGTCGTGAGGTCTTCACCATCACCAATCGTACGAGCGGAAGGAGAAGAAGAGTAAGAGGAATAAAAAGAATAAGGACATCGAGCCTAGTTGACGTCGCGAAAACACACTGGCAACCGTGATGCACTTGGCTGACAGGGACATATCTGGTAAGAGAGTTGACGTTCGTGATGCGAGAGATGGACACGACATGGGTGAAAAGCTGACTAGTGATATATGGTTGGGGTTATAGTTCATTTTGATTTTAATATCAAGGGTGTTTCTATTTCATTAGTTTCAGTCAATGTTCTAAAAGGCGTTAGGCGATAGTCGGACACTAGCCCAGCGCCTAGGCAGCTAGGCGGGGTGCCTAGTCGGGGACTAGTCGGAGACACATAAATTGCATTTTTATCAATATTTTTGCATAAATATGATAAGTAATATTGTATTTTTGTGTATAATACACACAAACATTAACAAATAAGGGTGGGCATATGAGCATATCGGTTTTTGGTTTGGTTCAGTTTGGAACGGGTTGGAAGAATTGTTACCAAACAAAAACCATACTATTTTTCGGTGTGGTTGGGTTCAAATTAGTTCGGTCTGGTTCAGTTTGGATTTTTTATATTTTAATAATATATGAAGGTTGATAGAGTATATAGACTATTGGAAAGCGGCCCACACGCTTACCGGATGTCATTTGTATTATTGTACATTTATATATCATTTGTATGTACTAGATTAGTCTTTTATGTAGTTGGGCCTATTAGGCCTATATTAGCGGCTCAGCCCATTGTTTCTCTGTTTATACTTCTTTGGGAGATTTTTGTAACCCTGGTTCATAATTCATTTACAATACAATATTCATCATCTCCTTCCTCACATTAGCTCAAATCTCTCCTAATTATATATGTTTGGATCTCTATAATCCATCAAAGGTTTTTTTTTTGAATTTCTTTAGTTCGATTCGGTTTTGTTCGGTTTTTATCGGTTTCGATTCGGTTCGGTTTAATACTGGTTGAAAGAATTTGCACCAACTCAAACCAAATTGTATACGGTCCGGTTTCGGTTCGGTTTAGTTCGATTTGGTACGGTTTCGTTAAACCAAACCGATATGCCCACCCCTATTAACAAACATGAATAAAGTTAAAGTATATGTACAAACCTATATAGTTTTTACTTAATTTAAACTTCATTTCTTTATATATGTGGCTAAAGTTAAATTACTCATATCCCTTAGAATATTAAAATTTAAAAGTAAAGTAATGCTCGGCGAAGATAGACGGTCTATGTGGCCAATTAGGGACACTGAACGGACAACTAAGTGTCATAGGCGGCCGAATAATCCACCTAGACGGCAAACCAATTAGTCGGGGCGACGAGACGGAAATCGGGGCGTCCACCACCGCCTAGCACCAAGCGACTAGTTGGGCACCTAGAACGAGTTTTAGAACAGTGGTTTCAATAGAGCTTTTTTTTTATCCAGATTGAAATTCAGTCTTAAATTTATATATTCCAAAGTGATAAATAATACTCCCTCCGTTTCGCAACCAAAGTCACATTTTTTTTTTATGTTTCAAAAACAAAGTTGTGCTTCCCTTATTTCCTTAATTAGCAAAGAAATCTACATCAAAACAATGTCAAACAGTCAATGTCTAAATAATGTACTCTATAGTAAAGTCAATTCATTTCGTTAATAATTGTGAAATCAAAATGTGATTTTCTTTTGGAAACTGAGGGAGTGTATGTATCATTATTTAGTATTTATATGTAGGGGAGAGCAAACCCGACCCTATCCGATTGACCCGATCGGATATATTCGATTTTATTATTTGGGTCGGATAACCCGACCCGAATGACCCAAACCCGATCCAATTTTTGCAACCCGAGAGTTAAGCGGGTAGCGAGTAGGGTTACCAATTATGCTACCTGACCCACCCGAAAACCCGAACTAGGGTAGTATATATACTACTTTGAATTATTATGCATGTTCAAATATCTCAAATATTGTATGTCAATTACCATATTATGCATATTCAAATATTCCAATTGCCGTACTTGTAAAACTATAACTTTGAATGTTGTATTGTTATGATTTTGAATGATATTTTGACCAATTATCATTTTATTTATCACAATATCAAATATGTCAATCACCATATATTATTATTTTACATGTTCAAATATGTCGATTACCGTATTTATACAACTATTACTTTGAATGATATACTAGTATAACTTTGAATGATATTTTTATTAATTACCATTTTATTTATCACAATTTCAACAATAATAAATTAAAATCCGAATGGACCCGAAAACCGAATCAACCCGACTGAAACCCGAACTTTTTCAACCCAAAAAATCCGATAAATTTTTTGATCGGGTAGGGTTTGAAATTATCAATCCGATACCTGAACGGGTTTACCATTTTTGAACCCGACCCGCCCGACCCCGACCCGTGCTCTGCCCTATTTATATGGACATAGTTCTTAGAAAGTGGGTGTTTAAATGTTTAATCGCAAGGCTCCAACAGAGAGTTGTTGCTTTCACGTGGCCGTGGCGGTGGACCATATAAGGCAAAAGAGTATAAGCCGATGGCGACTCCTAAAACAATAGCGATTGCGATTTTGTCTTGTCACGCCGGTTGGAAGTATATAGGAACTGGAAAGTATTGTGTTTTTTTTTTTGTTTAAGCCCGGGAATAACAAAATCAGAATAATCATCACACGGTAGGCATCAAGGCCCCTGAAATAATTAAATAACATTATTATTATAAAGAAAAACAGAGACCAAAGAAAGCTTGGGCAGATGAAAATTGTGAAAGTTCACAGAAAAGGCCATAAAGCTAAAAAAAGACGAAAGCTGGTAAACACAAAAAGCAACTCCCTTTTCTCCCTTGCTAACAAGTTTTAAGTTTTAAGTTTTTAACAACCAACCCCATCCTTCATTCTTCTCTCTAGCCCTCTTTTCCTTTCCCTCTCTTATCAGCAGACAAAATTTCTCGGAAATCTATTGTTCCCAGGAAGCATATGTCAATATCTCTACCAAACTGGCATTGAAGGCGGGGGTGGGGTTTATGCGTGTGTCGCCTTCTCTGCTTCATCGCCAGAAAACGTATATATCTCAGCCGCGGATCATCCCATGTTAGAAGCAACGGCTGGGCCTTCTTCTTCGTCTTCGTCCAAAGCAGCTTTGACTCCACGTCCAACGCCTCAGAATGGGGTTTCTTTGCCGAAACGGAAGAGACGACCCGCCGGCACTCCAGGTATATTCAGTAATTAATTATTTGTTTAATTGCTACTTTAAAAAAGTTTCAACTGATGCCGCCGCTTTAGTTGTAATTCTCTGCGATGAAAGTGGGCGTTGAATTGAAAAGGCTCGGAATGCAAGTAGAATTGCAAATTTTGCTTCCAATTTGTCTGTTTCATATCCGGATGGAATGATACTTTTTGTCTCCAAACTATTTCATCCAGTTAAACTGTATAATTTTCGATTCTGTTTCATTCAATTCAACGATGACCCTGTAAATCTTACAGTAATATCCGTGTTTCCAAAAGTTGATTTTGCTGTACTGGACAGATACCAAATTTATTGATTGATCATACCGAGTAATTGTTCACTATTGACCGCTTCAAGTAGTAATGATTTAATTTTTATTTCAACCGACTTTAATTGTAAAATAATCTGGTATAAATATTTTCAGCTTCTTTTATTTTGTTTTTTATTTTATTATTAATTACTGCAAAGTAATCAATATTTTGACCCAAGCTCCCCCCATATAACAGATAGTTAGAATAGCACAAGTTATACCATGAGCTCCACAGATTATATAAGTTGTGATTGTGAGCATTGTGTAATTATTATTATTGATCATACAATCAAACAAAATGATGGCATAATTAAAGATCATATTTACATATATTTACATCCATTAGCTTTCTGTACTGGATATTCACATATTCATAAGAGAACCCAATATTGCACTCTCTCAGTTCTCAAGTAACTGTTGTTTAGGATATCTGTATCGATACACATCTACGCCTTAAGATAGAAATAACAAAGTTTTCTCAAATCAAGATAACGCCTACCCCCTTGGTTTCAAAGATGACAGAGTATTTTCCAAATCGACAATCCCTATAATCTTGAGTTATTTGAATATTAGATATAAATTTACAATCTTACCACTTATAGTCACACTGGAAAACACCAAAAGTATATCCTTCAAAGCTTATTGGAAAAGAGGTGTTTAGGCTTCAGATTTGTAGGCTTATTCGTCTTATTCTGCTTAACAACGAAATAGCCAAAATCAACAAAATAAAGTAGCTTTTGACTTATTTATTTGGCTGAAATGGATTTTGCTCAATGATTTTCTTTTCGGTTAGTTTAACAGATTTGGTGATTCCATCAATTCAGCCAAATATCCCCTACAAAACAGGCCCTTTCAATAAAAACATCAATACCAACCAAAACTTCTTAAATGACACGTATGTTTCAAAATACATAACATATTAAAAAACCATTTATTAGGAAATGCAGTACATTAGAATAACCCTCACTAATGCTTGTAGATATGTGAAGTACTTATTACATTAATAGATGTCTAAGGACAATGGTTGAACACGAATCTCTTATATTCTGCACTAAAGTGATATTTATGTACAACAACAACAACCAAGCCAAAACCAAAACTAACTGTGAAAATACGTGTCATTAAAGTGATATATATGTACAAACAAGAAAATTATAATCTGTAGTCATACGCACTATATGTATTACAACTTTCTGGATGCACTACTTATGTCTGTTCTTTTGGTGGAACATAGATCCAGATGCAGAAGTCATCTCACTCTCACCAAAGACACTGTTAGAATCAGACAGATTTGTGTGTGAGTTTTGCAACCAAGGCTTCCAGCGTGAGCAGAATCTACAAATGCACCGGCGGCGACACAAGGTGCCGTGGGAGGTGTTGAAAAGGCCTCCAGAAATGCCATTGGCGGCGACAACCAGGAAGCGGGTGTATGTGTGCCCGGAGCCGACCTGCCTGCACCACGACCCTAAGCATGCCCTTGGCGACCTGGTGGGCATTAAGAAGCACTACAGACGGAAGCATAGTGACAACAAGCAGTGGGTTTGTGACAAGTGTTCCAAGGGGTATGCCGTCCAGTCTGATTATAAAGCCCATATCAAGACTTGTGGGACCCGTGGCCATTGTTGTGATTGTGGCCTCGTTTTTTCCAGGTTCTCTTTTATCCGGTCTCTTCTAGTTTTGGACAAGTTTCCACGGCTAACCGATGAAACACAAAAACGTATAGACATTTTTGTTTAGAAAAAAATTGAACCAAGAATCTGAACTACTATTATAACTATGGAATTTTTCCTAAAATAAATTCTCGAGTAGAAATGTGGAAGAAAAGACGATCACTAGGGATAGTCACTTTTAAAATAGCATTCTAGTCACTACAGTGTGAAATTGAACATCCCTGCAGTCAGTGAAGTACTGAAGTTGTTACAAAAAGCCGGCCATCACCATAGTCAGTAAAGTCATTACAAAAAACACTATGGTCACTGTGGATTAACAGTCACATTTTTGTGAAGTATTTTTTCTTTCTCATTTATGTGGTCATTATGCCTATCATACTTCGTGTTTTTTATTATTCTGTAAAAATTGGGATAAAAATGAAATTTTCATATTTTTCACTCTACTACATATTGTTTTATTTTTTGGAGTATGTATCTAATCCTAGATTTAGAACTTGAAGATCCAACTGATCTGGATTCTAACTTAACGAGGATTGCAAAAATGTTCTTTGATCAGAGTGGAGAGTTTTATCGAGCACCAAGATGCGTGCGAAGTGAAGCGAAACAACGGGACTGATACACAACCACCACCATTGCAACAGGCTATTTGCTCATCTACAACGCCTTCAACCACCACCACCGCCCATTCTAGCGACACGAATTTCAGCACCGTTGCGCCATTCACAATATCATTAGCTACAATCTCTCCTTCCCCTATTGAGCCCCCAAATGGTTCGTCCATTGTCGATCTCACCAATCATCAACAACAACAGAGCTGCTTAGAGCTCCAGCTCTTACCACCATCCTCCTCCGTTCTTCCAACCACAGAGGAGGACTATTCCACTGGTTTGAGCCTGTCTATTGGCCCATGCAGCACGGACCAGAAAAACAAGCAAAAAGAAGGTAGTGGTGGTGGTGGTCTGAATGCAAGTAGTTCGGTTTATGAGGAGCTGAAATTGGCTATGGATGAAAAAGCCTATGCAGAGGAGAGGAGGTTAGAGGCGAGAAGGCAGACTGAATTGGCTGAGTTGGAATTTGCGAGTGCAAAGAGAATTAGAAAAGCTGCAAAGGATGAGCTCGAGGAGGCTGAGCTTTTAAAGGAGCAATCGACCAAAAGGATCAGTGCAATAATGCTCGAAATCACCTGCCATGCCTGCAAGCGGAAGTTCTCAAACTGATGGCATTGTTTTCGTCCTATTTTTGATGGCTACTCTCAGTTTTTAACTTTTAAATTACTAGAGTAGAAGTATGTATCTTTTGTCAAAATGGGGGTACCAACTCTAGTCCTCCTGATATGTTACATCCTCCGTCCCAAAAAATGTCTTGTTTGAGTAATATATATGGTTCTTTAATTTTATCGCTCTCACCCTAGCTTTAAAAGGTATTTCATATAAAACTAACCCAGATCGATTCTGTCTTGTTTGAGGGCTTACTTGTCAGACGGTGGAGGCATGATCAATAAGTTCTTTAAAACGTGGCTGATACACTAATATCTCTAATATGAAGTCACATGGGCTATTGTGGCACCATCCTCACCACACATTATTTTAGTAGAGGTCTCCACTAAAATAATGTGTGGTGGGAATGGTACCACAATAGCCCATGTGACTCCATAAGAGAGTCACATATAGCTCCTTAAATTTTTTGCTAATATGTATCAATTAAAAAGCATCCAAAGTTAACAAGCATACAAAATATATGAGTTGAAGCTTAGTACTCTTTGGAGCTACAGGTCTACACTGATATCATGTATAAAGTTTACACGAACCTATTTAGCAAGATTCAAGAAAGGATGAAAGAATTTTATTTTTGCGGGAATCCTTTTAGGCGAGTTCACATTGTGGCTGAAACGGTAACTTTTCTTGGGAGATAATAGTTTTTTTTTACATAACGCAATATTAATTACATTACATGTTTTGTCCCAAAGCTGATTTATGTTAAAAGCCAGTCTAATGCAAAGTTAGTGGCAGATAAATTTTGCATTCAGGTTCGAATATTGCATTTTAAACATTACAATTGCACAACATTTTCCATCTCATTGTCAAACCAATATAATTCCAAAAAACATTAGAATTCTCAAAGTCATTTTTTGATAAATAATTTCTTTGAACAGTACTCTTGATCATATTTTGATTCATGTCATGCAATGTGACTAAGTGATATTGTTAGTCATCACGCCATATCGCAAAAAGTGTTAGGGTTCAATAGAGGCGGAATATCCAACCAAGTTGTCACTTATGATGCCATTGGGTAAGGGCAAGGCAAAATAGCCCAATAAGGGTTCAAGAGAGAGGCGGATATCCATGCACGGGGCAGAGATGTGCCACAAGGAGCGATGTTGGAAAGTGGGGCACGCCTTGGAGGTGGGTCGCTGGTTAGAACTGTGCGGGAGGTACAACAAGCGCTCAAACGACCACCACAACCTTTTGGAATAGTTGGGAATGTGTGATTGAGACGGGCGATCGAGGTCTACTAGGCGCAAGGTTGCTCCTCCATGTGCAAATGAGAGCACACCGTATCGAAGGATGGCATCGATTCAGAGATGAATGATGCCAATGTCTCATACTTTGGCGGCAGTCTGCTACTAGCTAAAAAATCAGACGTTCTTATCCATAGGAAAGTCAAGGTCACACAGACGATCAGAGTGAGTCTTGAGTTTGCCACAATAGTGATCAACTTCATAACATCCCGTGAGTTTGAGGTTCACCACTCCTCCAGCTCATCAAGAGCTTGACACCTTGGTCCATCAATGGATGTTCTTCACCAAGTCTAGAGACTTAATGCTCATCATACTAAAATCAGGTAGAACAACAAAAGATTTGTGGGACCGTCCCCAGACTTTGTTCCACGACAACAAAGCCCCCCATTTGTGTAGGCGTGCTAGGCTGGGGCGGCTGGGCTGGGGCGGCCCTTTTGTGTGGAGGTCTCTAAATTTATACATGAGTATTTAGAGTAGATATGGAAAGATAAATACATGCAAGAGAATATCGAGGCATATTATAGGAGGATTATTACGGATGTGAGAATCCTATAATATGAAATGTTGTGTGTGTGTGTATATCATATGGTATGGAGTATTATATACCATCATATTTCTAACTTAATTAACCTCTTCAATCCCTTTTTCCTCGTTAAGTTAGAAACCAAATCAGTTGGATCTTTAGGGTCTAAATCTACGATTATATACACTATAAATAATAAAACAATATGTAGGAGCGTGAAAATTATGAAAACCTCACTTCTATCCCTAGTAACCAGAGTCACATTTTCTTCCATATTTCTACTTGCGAATTTATTTTAGAAAAAATTCAATAGTTATAATACTCCGTAATATTTTAGATTGTCATGTCATTTTTTCTAAATAAAAATGTCTATTAGTTTTCATGTTTCATTGATTATCCGTGGAAACTTGTCCAAAACTAGAAGAGACGGGGTGAAAGAGAACCTGAAAAAAATGTGGTCACATTCATAAAGACGGTCATGGATTCCACAAGTCTTCATATGGTTACGGGTCCCGTAATCACATTTTAAATTTGAGGTGAGAGAATAACTGTTGGAAGGAGTTGCGGAGTTACATTGTAGTGCACAAGTTACATTTGTTGACCGTATGTTATAGCTGGTTGACCATGTGCTAAAGCTTCATACACTTTAGGAGATGCCTTAACCAAACCATCACTAAAACCTCATAATGACAACAAAAAATCTTGCATATACATGGTTCATTTAAGTGAAACACTTGCATATATACTTTAGTCTCTTGCTATTATACTGATACTAGTGTAAAGCTCGGGGCAATGCCCCGGCGGCACGTCAATTTAATATGAGTTAAAATAAAAAGCACTATTAAAAGCATTCATTGTGAATGATTTATATGATCTAAAAGTGAATATAATAAATTTTTATTATAAACTAACCACAACCAATTATATATTTGTATTTTTTTGGAAGTATTCATATTTGGAATGATTGTTAAGTTATCCATCATCATATATTATATATTTGCACTTTAGTTCATATCAAAGTTTCCGCTATTAAGGCTGTGGCGATGCGTATTGCTGCTAATGCGGCCTGATGCTTGCTGCTAATGTGGCCTGATGCGACCCAATGCTTTCCCGTTGCGACCACATTGCATATTTTTCCTGTAAATAAAAAATCTCTCCGACATTACGGCCCAATGTAGTTGCGCTGCAGACCACAACCGCACTATTGCAGCCGCGATACGTGTTCCGATCCTTAATTTAGAATTATGGCTATATTTGTTTTCAATCAAGTTTTGTTACTTTCTACGGGAGTGTTTGCAATAGCTTAAGAAAAAGACCTTCTCGTCTTTTGGCTTAAAAAACTAAAATTAATGTTTTCAAGTGACAACTTCTATTTAAAAAAACGCTTCTCGGCTATTGGGTGAAAAATGATTTTTATTTTTTTATATTAGACAAAAAGTATTTATTTTACCAAATACTACCAATTTTACTTTTCAAAATCGTTTTTTTCTTAACCACTATCAATTTTTACTACTAATCACTTTTTCATCACTTCAAAAAAGTGTTTCTTTTAAGCAAAAACATTTGCAAACGTCTTTTTTAGTACAGAGTATTACGTATTAAATGTGATAAATATCTATGTACACATGTTTTAATTTATAATTAAAGTATTAAACGTCTTTTTGTACATATGTTTTTATAGTTAAACGTCTTTTTTATCCCGTACATATGTTTTAATTTTATAATTAATTTTTTTGATTAAATATGTACATGTGTGGAAATCAAGATTAATAATAAAAGGGATAAGGGTCAGATAGGGTCTCGAACTTGAAAAAAATGTCAAATAAGGCCATATTTAGGATGTTATGTCCGGCCGACGCCATTTGGGGCGGTTCCCGATGGAATTTTTTGATGAATTTTTTTGAGAATCTTATTCATTAAGTCTAGTTTACTCATATCAAATTTGAACTAAAACTTCAATCGGGAAGGCATTCAAATGAATTCTTGAAGATAACTGTGCAGTTAAAAGCGCAATTATCTTCAAGAATTCATTTGAATGCCTTCCCGATTGAATTGGTAGTTCAAATTTGATATGAGTAAACTAGACTTAATGAATAAGATTCTCAAAAAAAAATCATCAAAATATTCCACTGGGAACCGCCCCAAATGGCGTTAGCTGGACATATCAGCCTAAATATGGCCTTATTTGACATTTTTTTCGAAGTTCGAGACCCTATCTGACCCTTATCCCATAATAAAAACAAAAACAAAACGAAAAGTGATTAAATTTTTTGATTAAATTTGTACATTCTGGTTGTACACTACTTTTTCTTCCGTTCTTTGCTCCTATTTTCTCTAAACGTTTTTCACCCGCTATTTTTTCTCCTATTTTTTCTCATATACGTTTTCTAAATAAATGTTATAATTAATGTCTTAATTAATTTTTTTTCTTAACCAATAAGAGAAAGATACATCAGCCGTTTATAACTGAGTTTTACTATATAAAACAATAGATGTTTAAACTTTGAATCGTAATTAACATTTCGCTTGTTGAATGACAAGTATATTTTATTGATATTAGACCATTTGGAGTGGTGAGGTATTAGGAGTCCAAAATGCTAAATGTAGAATTTTTGGACTCCTAATTGTGTGTAGTGGTAGTTTAAAAGGGGTATTAAAAATGGAAGAGAGGATGGAAGGTATTAAATATAGAGGGTTGGGTAAGAGGGGAGTGGGAAAAAGAAAAGGAAAGAAAAAGAAGAGAAAAGAGAATGCAGGTTGCTTTTCTGGTGCAGATGATGTCATGCTGATGTCATCCCTGCATCATAATATCCCAAAAAATTTTAAAATTATATAACTTTTTTATTTTTTATCCAAATTTTTCAAAAAGTATATCAAAATTCAGAAATTTTTATGATCTTTCATATGTCACCAATATGTAATATATAAAAATGATTTTTTTTAAAGTTTTAACTGTTGAAGTTTTCTTGAACCCCGGAAAAACATGAAACACAAATCTTTAATTCATGAAGCCTTCACAAATAATTGAATATTCCATAATCGAACTTTACTTGAATTAAGATCATATTTTGTTAACCGAAAAACATAAAAAAATTAATGAAATTTATTTATTTTTATATCGAAATATGTCTTTTTTATTTTATAATTAATCAGAGAAAAAATTAAAGCGAAAACATTACTTATAATAATTTAATTAATGTTATACTAAATTAACATGTAAAAAAATGTGCAGAGTGTATTTTATTGACGATGCTGGAATGCAGAGAAATAGGAGTCAAAACACTGTTTTCATATGGACGGAGTCCATTTTTGACATTTAGACTCCCTCACCACTCCAAATGGTCTTATTAGTTACATTTATTTGTTATCCACAACTTTTTATTACTGGAGAAAAATCTTGAACCGAACCGTACCGATTCTAAACAATGCCATGACCGGTTCTCATAAAATGAGAACAGGTAACGGACCGAACCGGACCGAAGTATGATTCAATGATTTAAATTTACATTTATACCCTTACTTTGACTACTGTCTTCACACTTTCACCGTCTTTGCTAATTCATAGGAAGTCTGGAATCGGACCGATATATGGTTTAATTATTTATATTTGTACTACTATAATTTATCTGAAATTTATTAATTATGTAAAATACTACATTCATCCCAAATTGATTTGCAAAATTAACTTTTCTTGGTCAAACAGTTTCATTTTATTCACTTAACTAGAATGTTACTTTTTAATTATATTTAATTTGGAGCTTGCAACCTTGAAGAGATTTCAATGTAGTTTCTGAATATGTTTATTTTAATTATTAAAAAATAAATCAATTATCAATAAAGAGAATTTAACTTTAGTGTTGACAAAAGAATTATTGACTTTGCATGTCAATTTGGGATAAAATGAGTATTAAAATTGATAAATCGTGTCGATTTTTGGAGGATGAATAAACTTTAATTTCCTCTTAAGCACTTGAAAAAAGTGGCATTGTTTGGTATTGGTATGACATGGTACCGTCCCGTTTCAAAATGAAACCGTACCGAACGAGTTTAGATCTAAGACCGAACCGAACCGAACCGTTTGGCCGAATATTGGACCTCACTGGACCTCGCCCACCTCTACATCGAAATCTATCAAGTTCTCTACCCCATTGGAAATCGAATCAAGGACTGAAGAAATTGAGTCTCTATCTGTGTTGAGTCCAGCAAACTTCCAGTGGCAATTGCATCGGCAAAGGTACTCCAAAGTAAGTTCTCTTGAACGTCTGTTCCAACAGTGCTTATAAGTTATAATAATCAATTAATAATTCGATCCTCTTAATATTTTTATATAGAACTATACTTCAATTTTGTGGAGAAACAAACAAGACCCGTACTTGTTGATTTTAAATCTTCATTATGCGTCGATAACAGTAAAATCTGTTCGATAGCTTGTTGTTTTGAAATGTTCACTATATGTCGGTTAAAGTGAAAATCCGTTGGGTAATTTGCTATGCAATTTTGGCTGTTGTTGCAGGGTTTTAATGATGGTTTGGTTAAGGCATCTGTTAAAGTGTATGAAGCTTTAGCACATGGTCGGCCAGCTGTAGCACTTAAATCTCACCATGATTTCACAGGGTATGCTATCATAAGTACTTTGCTGCCTTTGTTGGTTTAATTGTTTGGATCCTCTAAGTGGTCCAATTGAAGAATCCATTGATTGCATTAGAATTTAGAACTGGGGCTCATCTGGAGCCGAATACAAATTCTCCAGCCACTTTCTCACATAAGAATTAAAAAAAAGAGTTATGAAGACAGTATGTATTCAATTATAGAATCACATACTTAATTTGTGATAATGCACATCATAACACTCCACCATATTTATTTACAGAATGAGTATGAAGAATATATAAACTGTGGAATTTGTATAACGTGTGATATTAACAGATCATAGTATCTATACAGCACATGCTACATACTACAAATGGTATTAAAAAAATATAAGATGTGGAATAATGAAACACGTAATTATAACATACATAGTATTTCTCTATTTTATTATGGAACAAATAAACACACAACTTGTAAAACCGGACATGGTTTAAAAGGGCCAGTTCGGATATCTAGGCGCTTTGTCCCGGTGAGGCGAGGCGTATGCCTCAAAATGTACCAACAAAGAAAACCTAAAAGTATTTAAATTACTAAAAACCAACTAAAGATACGCATAATTATAAGTCCAAAATATTTCAAACACAAAACACATATATTACCACACGTCAAACACTATAATTCAAAATGAGAATCCCAACACACAAACTAACTGATGGAGTATATTGCCATACACCCTGGGGGTACGAACATTGCTCTAAGGAACCTTTGGGATCCACTAAGGAAAATCCTGTTGAGCCCGGGCCCGCCGAGGCCGAGCTCAAGACCGACTCTCGGCCAACCCTCGACTTAGGTTGGTAGCATTTCCAGTACAACAGCCGAGCCCAAGGCCAAAACCGACGTCATATACTCACTTATTGCTTGGGCCGAGGTTCCCTGTCTTTGAGCTTAATACTCACACCCGAGGTAGGCATCTCTACACTCAGGCCAAGTTGAGCTCTGGACCTCGGATTCACATTGTGGATTTAGACATTTCCGGCACTGATATTCCATATAGCATCGCAGCTACAACTGTACAAGGGCTGACATCATTCATTCAATTACAAGTTTACAACAGCTAGCTGTCAGGCTTACACGTGTGGCTTATCCAGCCATTTTGTTACAAAAAGGACAATCACTCGTACAGCAATACTAATTAATCGATCACCAATTAGCCTAACACATGACATGTATCCAGTGAATTGGTTACAATGTTACATTTATTTGTTCACCAAGTATTTCCTTGTACAATACAAATATCACCACCCCGCTTGTGGAAAGGGATCACATTCTGAATTTTCTAGCTTATTATTACTCTATGAAATTTCCGACTCAATTCACACTTGTTATATTTTCTGACTCTCCCTCGATTTTTCTACCTATGAGTTGGTAAAGCCATCACTAACTCATCACGCAAATGACACAATTCAGAAACGTGGAATCTTAATCACCATATCTTATAACATTATCAGTTTATCACCATCACCATATCTTATAGCCTTAACATCATCATCGCTTCCATTATTACTATCAAAATCCTCCCATTCTTATCATATGTCTGAGTATGAAAATATTTTAACAATTTTCACTTGCCAGACTTGTTAGGGTTTAGAATGCACATTTGGACACAAGTTTAATGTATGAGACTTTTATTAAATAAATACAGTTTGCTTTATTTAAGTTACCACCACAGTAAAAAGAAACAAACAAAGAAAACCCCACCTAAAATATGGATCCAGGCGCGCCTCAAGGCATACGCCCTGACTTTTGAGATATAAGCCTCTTATCTTGTAAAAAACTAAGCCTCAATACGTAATGTATGTGCCTCACATTGAAGCATGCCTCAAAAAATGCCTCTTAACCTCCTTTCTAGACCATGAGACCGGAACAAATGTGTCCTTTTGTCTAAATAGTTGAGAAATATATATGTTATCAGATGCACAATCTAACGATATGTCTCTTTTTGCTTTAGTACAGGGGTAAAACTGCGTACATCCGACCCCCTTACCCCACCGTAGGTGGGAGCTTTTGTGACACTGGGGTAGTGATGATGATGATGATTGTTCCAACAAAAACGTTTATTGGTATAATGGTATCATGGTATGTGTTCTCTAACATATAGTTTAGGGGTGTATTTGTTCCTTCACCTTAAATAAAGGGATAAAAGGGCAACTCAGTGCACGGTTGCGTCCTCGCAAGGCAAGGGTCCAGGAAGTATCCCACCATAAGGGTGTAGTGGGGCAAGGCTTCTCATGCCAATTTGGCAAGAGGCCTCTCCCATAGTTTTCATATATATATATATATATATATAATATGTACACATAATTTATATACAACTTTACTTACTGTATGGCGTAGAGTGTTGGGCGGTGAAACAATGTCACATTCAAAAGATGAGTGTGGCAGAGATGTGCATGTTGTGTTGGATGTGTGGGCATACTAGGAAAGACCACGTGAGGAATGAGACAATCAGACAAAGAGTGGGAGTAGCACCTATTGAAGATAAGATGCGGGAGTTGCGCCTACGGTGGTTTGGTCATGTGCCTAGAAGACCGAGTGATGCACCTGTCAGACGAGTTGTGATGTGTGGAGAAGAGGCAAGGAAGAGAGAGAAAGGAAGGCCCAAACAGACGTGGGTTAGGGGAGTCCGAAGTGATATGGTTCTTCTTGGGTTGGATGAGGGTATGGCTTTGGAGAGAGCAAAGTGGAGGGCGGGTATTCGTGTGGAGGAGTGATCTCGTATTATCTTTTCCCATCATCTCTTTTTATTTGTTTTTTATCCTTTTATCCTTATATATAAACATTATTTTTATCCGTTTTATTTTATCTTTTTAGGTATATTCATCTCTTTTTATATTATCTTTTTTATAATAGCTTATCTTTCTTATCTTTATTTTCTTTCTTTTCCTTTTGGTGGTGATATCATGTATCGATTCATGTTAGCCGACCCCAATATCTTTTGGGACCAAGGCTTGGATGTTGTTGTTGTTTACTTACTAAGTTACTAATGGTAAGAATATTCTACATGTTTATATATATATATATATATATATATATATATATATATATTTCATAAATAAATGTAAACTGCAATACATTTCTTGCAATGGAGTGCATTATGAAATTTCAAATATCAAAAAGTTAAAGTTGGTGATGTTGCAATGAATAAACCCATAAAAAATCCATGAGCACACACTAATGCAAGACTAAAGTTAGAAATCCCACTGAAAAGAAAAATGTTAGAAACCTAAGAGTTTCTAAAACACTATTTAATTATTAAAATGGGTTCCTCAAATTCTTTTTAATAAAAAAAGGTATGATAACAAACATTTGAAGTTTTTGAGTTTCCAACACACTTTTAGGGTTCGAAATGGCGAAATTTGAGTTCCATGAAATTTCCGTGCTTGTCAGGGTTATATGAATATGTACAATAATTATGAGCTATTTGTAAATGCCCTTATGAGCTATGTTTTCAAATTACCTTCCTCAAGGCCTAGCCTACGATTCTCCTGAACCGGCCCCTCCAAATCACCAATGCTATGCCGTCTGTCTAGCGTCCATCGCTTTTTAGAACATTTCTTAGGACATAATTGATAATGCCAAATACATGCATTCTTAAGACAGAACGGTACCTATTATGGTGTTGTTGAGGCTAACAGCTCCTCAAGGCGAGACTATAAAATCGCTTTGAGGCTCCCACTTAAAAAGTCACTTATCATGATGCTTATTCCCCAATCAGTTGCTATCTTGTGTTCTCTTCTCAACTGCTAATTTCCCTATTAAAATGTAGATTAGCTCAATATACATTTTCATTGCTATTTTTTCAGTGATTAATTTTCTGCAGATTTGAAGGTGCATTTGCAGTTCATATATGCAACTACAGATGCATACTATGGAGTATTCTTTGTTATCTACAGTTGTTAGGACATGAGAATGGGTTGAAACACTCACTCTTGATCTTTCTTTAGTAGTTTGGGTCGAACTTAGTCCCTTAGTCCACAAGGTATGAGTCGAACTTTTAAAATAGATTCGTGCTACACTGCTACCTTATTTTACATAAAGTAAACATAGGCATAATGTATAAAATGAGCCCCTGGAATGGATCTCATAATGCTGGCCTCAGTTAAATGTCTTCTTGGGTTCACTACAAAAGCGTCTATTGTAAAATGTCTGTTCAATGGTCTGAAAGTTCTTTACTTAAATACATACTTTCATCCTAATCAACAGTAAAAGAATACAAAAAGGGCAAATAAAGAATTACAATCCAATTTACTGCTAGTGGATATACTTGAATAACTAATGAATCTTCCTAATAAAGCCTTCTTTTTTCGAAACCTCTTTAGACAAATGAAAACAATCTATATGGCAGGTTTTCAAGCACTACTGCTAGAACTTTCGCTACTTCCAGGGGTAGTAAGCTCTCTAAGCATAGCAACAACTTGCAACATATTAAGCCGCTTTGATGGGAAATCATCCACACATTGCAGTGTTATCTCCAAGTACCTAATCATTTCCTTCACCGCCACCTCCTCTGCTGCTACGACTGAGTCATCCGTCCCGCTGCCTTTCGAAAACAATAGCAGCTGAGGATCAATGACTTCCATTGTTTTTCCTTCTCCCACTTTCATCTTTACCCATCCCACCAGGTTCGTGTCCCCAAAATCTTCCTTGTCAGTAGGCCTTTTCCCTGTCAAAAGCTCCAGAAGGACAACCCCGAAAGAGTACACGTCGCCCTTTGCAGTGCACCGGAAACTCTGGTAGTACTCTGGGGGAACATACCCCGGTGTGCCGGCAAGTGTGCTCACGCTCAAATGCGTATCTAACGCGCTTATGAGTCTGGCCATGCCAAAATCCGAAACTCTTGCTTCAAGCTCGTCATCTAAAAGGACATTGCTAGATTTCATATCGCGGTGGATGATGTGTGGGATGCAATTGTGGTGAAGGAAACACAACCCTTTGGCTGCTCCCCTTGCAATCTTCTTTCTCTCTTCCCACGTTAGGGTTAACGATCTCCTCCACCTCACATGGAGAGCTTCTTCAAGGCTCCCGTTTCTCATGAACTCGTAAACCAGTAGCCTCTCCTCCCCTACTTTGCAGTAGCCCAAGAGAGGGACAAGGTTCTTGTGTCTGATCTTCCCAAGCGTCTCCATCTCCGCCATGAACTCCCTGTCTCCTTGACAGCTCAAGCTGATAAGCTTCTTGATCGCGACAGTCGTCCCATCTTTTAATGTCGCCTTAAAGACTTCACCGAACCCGCCCGTGCCAATCAGGCTAGCAGCCGCGAAGCCGTTTGTGGCCTCTATCAGCTGTGAGAATTTCAGCTTCCTTAGCTGCATTTGGAAAGTTGCAACATTTATGCTCAGCGGTTCCTTCTCCCTCTCTATCTTCCACGTTGTGGCTGCCTGTGATGCATTGAGCCTGTTCAGCATCTTGACTCCCTTTGCCTCCCTATGTCTAGAACGAACCATGACAACGGCCAACACAATCAAAGCGAAGATGGTTGCAACTGATATGCTGATCCCAATAACGATTGCTTTAATAATCATCCGGGAAGCTCGTGACCCTCTTTGTCTTGAGTTTTGATCTGTTGTCGGAGGGTCGTAGTTGTAAACGTACTGGCATTTGGACAAGGGGACGCCACATAGGCCTGGGTTGTTAGCAAACTGGGTGGCGGGAAGTGTGCTGAGCTGTCCTGTCTGAGGGATTTCCCCGGTCAACTCATTGTAGGAGAGGTCGATTTGGACGAGGAAAGATAGATTTGAGAAGGAATCAGGGATATGGCCCTGTAACATGTTGTGTGAAGCGTCAAACACGCCTAGGTTTTTTAGCCCACCACCGAAAGACGAGGGGATTTCTCCGGATAAACGGTTGTGAGACAAAACCATTACTTGTAAATCTATCATCTCCCCGAACTCATCCGGGATTTCTCCCCTAAGATCATTATATGAGAGGTCAAGATACTCTAGAGTCTGGTAGCTTGTGAAGAAGCTAAGGACCGGACCGGAATATAATCGTGTGAAGTCGCAAGTCTTCAGGGATGGGATTTTCAGTAGCCTCTCTGGGCGGATGCCGTAAAATTCAAGCAACCCCCCGACTCCTCGGCAAGAGTTCCCGATGTTCCGGACGAAAACCATCGTATTACCAGATAAGATCCCGCCCTGGTGGGCCTTTGATCCTTTCTGGCGGCCCAGCCGGGCTGGGATCTCACCAGTCAAACCGTTGCTGCTTAAGTCCAGCCATACCAAACTACTACAGTTGACTATCTCGGTGGGAATTTGACCACTCAAGCTGTTATTTCCGAGCTGCAAGATTGCTAGCCTCTTCAGGGACCCAAATTCTACAGGAATTTCACCTGTTAGTCCGTTACTGGTGAGGGCAACCCACTCGAGATTCCCACATTTGAAAAGCTCCTGCGGTAATTTTCCTCTCAGTCTATTGTTGTTCAAGATGAGACCCTTGAGTTTCCCACAGTTACCCAACTCCGCTGGAATATTCCCGTCCAAATTGTTGTACCAGGCAATCAGCTGTTCCAGATTTCCTAGTTTCCCTAGCTCCGGAGGGATTGAGCCATTGAGATTGTTCAAGCTCAAATCAACCGTCCTCAGCTGCGTACATTTCGATAGCTGACCTGGAATCTGCCCGTAAAGCAAGTTGTCTGGTACTCTCAGCTCTTCGAGAGAAGCAGCTCCAGGGCATAAATCTGGCGGAATCATGCCGGAAATCAAGTTGGAGCTGAAGTCAATCACTCTCAGCTTACTGCAGAAGGATAAGGAAGCTGGAAACACGCCTGAGATGTTGTTGCTTCTCATCAGCAGAGTCTCCAGGGACACCATTTTTGGAAGAATAGAGTCCGGGAAGGAGCCTGTTAAATTGTTATTTGAAAAGTCCAAGTTCTGTAGCAAAGAACATGAAGAAAAGGAATATGGGATAGATCCGGTTATATTGTTGTTCGAAAGCTTAAGTTCCAAAAGTGACCCACAAGCATTCCCCAGCTCGAGAGGGATCCAACCCGTCAAAAGATTTGAAGAAAAATCCAATCTTTGTATCCTTTTGAGCTGTCCGAATTGGCCTGGGATTTGACCAGAGAATGAATTGGAAGCCAAATTCAAGTCGGAGAGATTTGTACATTTAGCAAAGTCTGCCGGAACAGAACCGGAAAACTGGTTACCCGACAAATCAAGGTGTGCCAAGGAATCACAAACCTCGATTATCATCCCAAAAACTGAACCGGTCAGGTTGTTATAAGACATGTCCAAAAAATTCAGTTTTCTGGTCTGGACCAAGAAGTTGTCTGGGAGAGAACCAGTAATATTAGTGAAAGCGACATTCACATACTCTAGATTTGGGCATTTGGCAAATAGACACTCTGGGACATTCCCTGCCAGTCCGGAAAATGACAATTCAAGATGCTTTATTCCGTAAGGGAGTTGACTCAGCGAAGAGGACGATACTGACATCTCTTTGTTCCCAGAAGCATCAAGGGAAACCAACATGTCCAGAGAACCTAAAGGGTCAAAAGAAACATCGTCACCAACAAGGCCGGCACTTGAAAGATCAACAGCACTCACTCTCCCTAGGCTACTACACTTCACTCCATACCAAGAAGAGGAACATGGATCTTCTTTCTGCCGCCACCCGGAAAGAACTCCTCTCGGGTCTTCCTGGATCATTTTCTTGAACACCAGAAGGGAAGCTGCATCGGTTTCAATGGAATGAACAGGAGGTAGGGTGGGGTCTGTTGCAGCAGAAACAGGAATCAAAACTGCCCAAGCTAAGATGGCTGAGAGAAGAAGATAAAGGGAATGCCGGAGTTGTGAGATGGTGATTTCCATTTGGTCGGTGATGGGGGTATGATCTTTGCGTAGGAATGCAGAGAGAAAAGAGGAAACTATTAGCTTTAGGCAAAAGTTTGTCTTTCTGAATTCAATGTCTTTTTCATTTTCTTTTTGTTTTATTATTTATTCTTCTTGCTATTTGTAAATCGAAAAGGAGGCAAATCTCACGTAGAAAGAAGAATTGAGAAAAGCAGAGTCTGCTGTGGGGTCAAAAGGAGAGCTTTGGTAAAGGAAAAGTCATCCCTAAAATAATGAAAACCTACACTTCTTTAATGCGGTAAAACAATCACTGAAGAAAGTACTTCATCCATCATTTGATTGTTTCAAGAAACTCTTACCTTCTCCTTAGAAAAAAATAAATTCGTAGTTTATTTGTTTTCTCTTTTCAATAGTACTAAATTTTATATTAATGTGTATATATATATAGTAAAGGATTTTTTTTTAATAATACGTAGTACTATACTCCGTATAATATTATATTGCATATGAAATTATGTAATATATTGAATAGTATAATAGAAAATGTAATATTTATTGTATAATATATTGAAATTATATAATATATTGAATAGTATAATACAAAACACAATATATTGTACTCGTATTGAATTATGCATATTTATATAAGATGTATATACATCACAAAATGTAAGCCAAAGCTGAAATTGAAACAAGAAATTACCCTTTATCAGTGTTATGAGAGAAATTATGAAATAATAATGATAATAACCGTGATGGTGATAACAATAATATAATATAATAAGAATATAATAATAAAAGTACTAATAATAACACTAAACAATACTATAATAATGGTAATAAAAAATAATCAATAATGTTTAAAATATAAATTATAATCTGTATTCAATACCAACAATTTCATGTGTTGCCTTTGAAAGTGAGAGGGTAAAACAACCAATGTTTAGTTTTGGAGACTCGTGTCCAATTGCTTGCAGTGATAGTATTTTAATCTATTGGTATTCCTTTGCATTTTCACACTGAAAAAGGAAATATATATTCTACATATATGTAGGGAGCGGTTCCGGTAAGAACACATCTTAGGAGAAAAATGAGAACGAATGTAGACCGTTAGATTAGATTGTATGGAACTGAATTGTGCATTCGTTGAAACCGAAATGTGCATTAGATGATATTGAAATGTGCAGAATAAAAATTTAAACTTAAATGTGCATTAGATGAAATTGAAATGTGCGGAATAAAAGTTACAAAAATAACCTCACATCGTACCTTTTATTCTGCACATTCCAGTTTCACCTGATGTACATTTCAATTTCATTTAGTGCACAATTCAGCTTCACATAATGCCAATGTATTGTACCTTTTGTGCTGCACATTTCAATTTCACCTAATGCACATTACTGTTTCATCTAATGCACATTGGATTTCACTTAAAGCAAATCTAAATGTCCAGATTCGTTCACATTTCTCTCCTAAGATCATGTTCTTATTTGAACCAAAACCTATATATATAAGTATTTGTATAGAGACTACGTAAAAAATGATGAACCATTTTGAGAACCGACTGGTTAATTGAAATTGGACCGGCATCAGTCCCAACCGTGGACTAGCTGGAAATGGTCCGGGTCACCCCTAGACATAAAGATTATCAACCTACAAAAGCAGCAATTTTGAATCACTAAAGACTATTTAATGCTGAAGCATTCCTTTATCATAATTTGTGTGCAATGATTGAAGTTGCTACTTTTCATTAAATATATCAATTAAATTTATTAGTCAAAGTGCGGCAAATTTAAGTTACTCCCTCCGTCCCATAATTATCTTCATTCTTTCCTTTTTGGTCTGTCCCAAATTTATCTCCTCTTTCCCTTTTTAGCAAAGGATTTGTGGTTCACAATCATTCTTACACATTTCTCTCTCCTCTGCACAACTCTCCACCACACATTTCCCACTTTCTTAATATGTGTGCCAATTCAAAAGAGGAGTTATTTATGGGACGGAGGTAGTAAATTAAATGTGTCGAATTTTTGTAAAAACTATGGACTGAGTCAACAACATGCGGAGAGAGGAAATATTGGTGGCCACTAGTGAAGCGGATATAAGTGACGGTCAAAGGGGGGAGTAGGGTGGGTCCGGGCAATATCTATGATCATGCTTTTCTTTCTTTAAAACGACAGGGAATTTAGAGAGTTCAGTGTTTGATCCAACAAAGTGATTTCCACGTCAGACGGCGTGAGAATGTCGCACTTTTCTGTCCACATCTCAGGCACAGGTAACAGAGGACTAATATAAATGCACTCAGGGTTCTTCTTTATTTTGGTGAAGTTCATCAATTATTTTACATCCAAGGAATTAACAATAATAATCTCTAATCTGAGTATTTATAAAAATAATCCTTTGTTCGTGTAAATAAATTGAAAAGAATTCAAACGACCCAAAAATTAGTGTCGTTGTAGAAGTGTCATCAAATTGCAACGCCATGATAATGTCATATAATAATGTAATGATGATACATTTGTATTCACATTTGACGACACATTCACTTCATATAAATTAGTGATATGCTAGTATTACGATGTGTTGTTGTCTTTCCTTGTTTTGGTACTTCTATAGTATCAAGTATTGAACCATTTTTATAAGGGAACGAATCATATTTGGAACCACCATATCCACCTAAAGTTTTAATGTTCAAGCTAATTTTAATCAAACTCAAACACAAAATTCCTATCTATTCAAAGCATCCCATAACTCATTGAACGTCATTTAGATTGAACTCAAAGTCAGCATGAAAATTTATAGACAGACAATTTGTTCTTCAAAACAAAGCAAAATCCAAAATAACAATACTCTAGAATTTTAGTCTACATGGGGCTGCAAACATAAAGTAGCCATTACATATCATCAGTAGTCATTTACTTCCACCACAACTCTATCATTAGTAGCCTTACAAAGTAAAAGTTTTTTTTTTTTTTTTGTCTTCTGCCGCCTCTCTGGTCTCTCAACAAACTCATCGAGGTCATCCTCTTCATTAAAGTCATCCATAACCTCTTCGCCTTTTGACATAACTTTCTTGTACACTATAAAAAGATCAAATAATTTTATCCAATGCTTAAACACAAGTAATTTTAATGATGAACATCTTAAGTGTAAAATATTATTCAAAGAAAAATTAATGTAGTAAATAATTACTTACCAAACAACCTAAAAATCTGTCCAACTTTGACTAATTATCAATAGGGCTTGCATACAAGTCAAGTCCGTTATAGATCTGATCATCATCTGGGTTTTGGGTATTAATAATATGCACAAGGTATTTTGATGTCAGCGTTTGATGAATCACTATTTTATCATGAGACTTAAGACCTTGAAGTCAAAAATCATCATTGGAAACAATACTTTTGAGGTGAGATGAATAACCATCAGACACCTTGGTCTCTAGAATGGTTTGGCAAAAATTTTGTTTGTCTTCCTCGAAAAGAGTGTATGGTGTGGGGGTATATAATTTCCTCCTAGTATTAAATGCAGTGTTCTAAAAGGCGCTAGGCGCTAGTCGGGCGGTGACTGGCCGCCTAGCGCCTAGCCCGCCTAGGCGGGCGCCTAGGTGCCGACTAGGGCGCCTAGGTATTTTCCTATATTTCTTTGTTTTATTTTTATTTTCATTGAATTTTAAATATATTACCAATAATTTTATAATATTTTAAAACTAGAAATAGCTCATATAATCATTAGTTATTATGGTTTTTGTATAAAAATTATAAAAAGTAAAACAATTAATAGATAAATGTAGAGATTTTTATTTTTTTTAGTCTCTAAAAATGTACATAAACACTCTAAAAATTTATAAATATTTCAAAATTATTTTTTTATCGTAGAAATATGAGACTAAACTATATAGGAATAGAATACTTATTGATCAAACGTTGTTTTAAGTCAAAACGGGGGAAAAAAGTTGAATCGGGAAAAAAATTAATCCAGACCGCCTAGCCACCGCCTAGCCGCCTAGGCGCCCGACCGATTTTTTCGACCGATTACATCAAAGTCGGGGCGCCCGGCCACCGCCTAGCGTCTAGGCGGGCGCCTAGCCCGATTTTTAGATCCATGATTAAATGTTTCCTTATCTTTAGATGAATAAGGTCATTTCTAGCTTTTGGATCATCTTTGGTCTTTGTTGGTTGATCGAGTAGTGTGCCATAAAGTTCTCACTCGCATTATTCTCAATGTGCATTACATCTAGAAGATGATGAATTAGCAAATGTTGCCACTACTCTAAATAAAAGAATATCGACTTGCGCTTAAATAGCCTCGCCTTGTTATGGTGTTTGATGCCCTGTTTCTGTGTCTGTTTATTTACCTTGTATTTCCCAAGTTTGTAGTTTATGATTATGGGGCAACCAATAAACGTCAGTGATGGCATGAGTTGTCACGCTCCAGACCGTATCTAAGCACGTTTACAACCGCCGTATGATCAAGTGACGTCACTCGCAAGTCAACCTCACTTAATCATACAAGGCGTTTGATAAAATAATCCATTCATACTCAGTAGTAAACATACATAACAACATCACATTTAAACCAATAAATAGAGAAAATATTCAACGGTAAATCATAAGCCACATCCGGGCAACAACATGGGCATGCAAGCCCAAAAATTAGTTTGTAAGAAGTAAAATACTCATGAGCAAATAATTGATAGTTTGAAAGAAAATAAGGAAACACGGACCACGTCTTCCTTGAGTTGATATCACTCGTCTAGGGCGTGACAATTAAGTGGTATCAGAGCCATCTAAGTTCTAAACCATGTAATCAACCTCTCACAAGAGATTTTACAAAAAGAGTGTTACCGAAAACCATGAGCATTGTATTTTGACGCTTATAGAACTATTGTTACCTAAGTTGTAAGGTATATAGTTGTTAAGACAGTACCCTTAACAATTGGTATGATGGTGATTTGGGCCAATTTCTATCTATAACGTTCTTCCGTCAATTGACATTGGTAGGAGTCTTACGACTCATCCAAATTTCTTTTTCAGAAATGGAGGGTAGGCGCATGGCGACGAGGAACAACCCGAGGGGGCAAGCACCGGTAGCATCCATCGGGACTAGCCGGGCTGCATCTCGGGTCTCAAGAGGAGGTCGTGGATGCCATCGGGCTCAAACCGTGAACGATGGCCATGTTAGCTCGGTGTATGAAACCAACACTGAGTACTATGACTCAACGTACGTTCCTGAAACGGAGCATGATGAGACCCCATATGACGGGGGTGATACGCACACCGACGAGGACAACGATTAGAGTGATGCCCGATTCGCCCAAATGGGTGAATTGCTTGAGTGGTATCAAAAGAAGAAACCGAGGAGAGACCTTA